GTTCTTGCATGAGGCCCATTGTGTACCACAATTTTTGTGCTGTTTCAACAATTTATATTTCTAAATATTCAGGACATTCCTGCTATGACTTTTGATATTTCAGCAGTGGTGTGCCGTCAGGGCCAGCAAAGCCTTCTCTGCTGGCCTAAACACAATCAGAATCACTACATTTTAGAATATTTTATATTTATTATAATAGTTATTAATATTATTATGAGGATATTATTATTTTTAAAATATCTGTTCTCTTCGTTTCATAGTTCTTCTCCCGGCTGCGCAGCTTCCAGCAGCTTGTATATATTTAGAGCTTTTATCCAATCATATTTCCATCATCATCTGTTGCTAGGGTCCAGAAATCTGCCTCAGGCCTTCAGAATGAACAGCGAAGTGTAGTGTCCTAAGAGTGGGGGTTTGTCTAAGGAATGTATACATGTGTGGCTCATCAGCCACTCAGCTTCAGAGTTCCACACACATCACCATTTTAGGACAACGTTTGAGGTACACCGTGATTTATGWACATYTGTTGCTTAAAGACCTCTGTACACCCCCACCTCGGGGCCTTTCTTTCTCCGACTTTCTTACTGGAGAAATCAATTGGCTGAAGGCCATAATTTGATCTTAGGCTGTATTTTTGATCTGCAGTAATAAAGTTGCTTGCTGTTCAAACCAGCCTGAATCCAGAGTCATTTTTATCCGAGATCAACAGCAGTTCAATTTTGGACCAGAAGAAGTGATTTTTCACCTCAGAAGGCACCTGGAGGGTGAAACACATGGCAGCGATGTTTCTTTGACCAATCAGGTGTTGAGGTGAAGACACCAGAGCCTGGGAGCTGGCCACGGACAGCGTCAACCTTTTCTCATCGTTTGATTGGCTGATCAGAGAGCAGACATTCAGAACGGGGAAACTAGATTTCTGTGAAGAACTTAATACTCAGTATTGAGCTGAAATATGAATGAGATGGGTTAGGGTCTTCTAAATGTTTCCTAACTTTCTGCCAGATTCGAATCAATAATTTAACTATTGGATTAGCGCTCTGTTTATTTTTTTGTTTTGTTTTTTCAGTTTTTTAGGTTCATCTGACTATAGATAGGCAGGGAATGTGAGATTCAAAGAATATCTTTCAATATCCTTCCATTTAGGAAGGTTATCTGAGGAAAAATAAAACATTAACATTCTAAGCTTTATTGCCCAAAAATACCACTGCAAGTCAAGGCATTGCATTCTAGATAAAGTTATTAAAGATTTTTTGTATTCTGGGGAAAATTTCTGGAAGAGGTGGCATGAGAATGCATATTTATTTTGAGTAGTTAATTCTCCCAATCAGAGATATAGATAGACCTGTACATCCTGCAATCAGGTTATCTTTAAAACATTTTGATCTATTAAAGTTTTTAGCAATATTATTCTCATTATAATACAGTGGCATTTTATGGAATCCTTAAACATCATACTACTTTTTCAACTTTAACTACTTGATGTCCTGATGCATCGCAGTAACTCAGTTAGAAAAATCAAAAGAAAAAAATAAGTAGGTCCTCTGGACGAGTTATTCTTTAATGAAAAGTTTTATCTCTCCTCTAAGAGTCTGAGTTTGAGTCTGAGTCTCCTCTTCAGTCTGAGTTTCAGGTGAACTCAGCCACTGCCTCCACATGGTGGACAAACAGGTTGGTCACATGCAAAAGAGGGCCATCAGTCAAACAATAGATTCTTAGTGCCTAACTGTGAGTCTGTTTTTTTGTGCATGAATAAATTTTTTTGCGTATGATTTTAGATTTCTGACGTAAATTTAAGATCAGAGCAATTTTTTAAAACTCATCTCTCCTATTGTGTATTTCCAGCTGTTAAAGCTGCTGTATGTAGTTTCTTGGGTACCCAAAAACTTAGAAAAATTTTGAACAGAAACA